CTGTACTTTTACATTGTAAGAATCTGAGTTATGTACATTAGTTGGTAAATTAATTAAAAACCTCTGATGCCGATGGACCTCCGCTCGGCATACACTGTAAAAAAAAAATTAAAACAACCAACTTCCAGGCTCTTATATGTTTACTGAACTCAACTGTTTCCGTTTCTGTTTCTGTCACAGTGTTTACAGATAGAAAGACAAAGTCGGTATTGTGCATTGTTCACTTATTTGGATCATCTTTTACAATCACATCAAACATCAATATGAGTATGTCAACCATCCCCACCAGTTTTCCTGAGAGTGCAGTGCAGTCCTCATCTCCTGAGCTCTCAGATGAGCTCACCGCTGCCCTCACTGTTTCTTCTCCTATATCTGAAGAGCCGGAGTATGGGGACCTCACCTCAGTGCGGTGGTGGGAAACAATGGAGGCAGGAGAAATTTCATGCCCCACATCCCTGGTCTTCAGTGATGAGTCTGAAAAGGCTGAGTCTCTGCACTCAGGCTTCCCAGATGCAACACTGAAGACCAAGGAGCCGTGGAGGCAGAAGAAGACACAGGGTGCACCCGTGCCTCCCATGTCCCAACAGGGAGCACCTGTGACTGCCAATACCAAGAAGAGGGACTACACCTCATCCCTGGTCTTTAGTGATGCATCTGACAAGGCTGAGTCTCCGCATTCAGGCTTCTCAGATGCAACAATGAAGACCACAGAGCACCAGAGAAAGTGGAGGCAGAAAAAGCCTCAGGGAGCACCTGTGCTTGTTGGGTCTGAGAGGGCTGAGTGTGGGGACTCAGCATTCTCAAATGAAATACTGAGGACCACTAAGCAGGGGAGGCAATAGCAAAGGAAGTGGAGGCAGAAGAAGCCTCAGGTAGCACCTGAACCTGCCGGGTCCCTACAGGGACCACCTGTGACCACTGGCTCCCAACGAAGAGGAAAGCTCAGGATCCCTGAGTATCTGAGGCAGCATCTGGTAAAGGCTGCTTCTGAGCTGGGAGCACCTGAGCCTGCTAGGTCCCCACAGGTAGCACCAGTGCCCACAAGTGTCCTCATGACACACCCATGCGCACCAAATCTCTACAGAGAGAAACTGTGCCTGCCCTAAAGGTGTCAAAACCTAAGATCCCTGAGCAACTGCGGCAGGACCTGCTGCAGCAGAAGCCTCAAGCCTCTTCTGTTCAAGGAGCACCTGTGCCCAACAAGACCCCAGAGAGGCAAAGACTCAAGATACCTGAGCTGCTAAGGCAGGAGCTCCTGCAGGTGTCGGCTCGAGCCTCTTCTGAGAAGGGAGCACCCATGCCCAACAAGACCCCAGAGAGGCAAAGACTCAAAATCCCTCCTAGGAAGGAGATGCTGCAGCAGAAGCTTCGAGCCTCTCCTGTACAGTGTCCACCCATGGCTCCCAAATCCTCAAAGGAAGCACGTTTACCTCATAGGAACCCTGTGCATGCCGGGACCCCATGGGGAGCAGGAGCGCTTGCCATGTCTCCACCGGCAGAGGTAGTGCCTGCGCCCGCTAAGCCTCCAAAAGGAGCCGCAGAGCCCTCCAGGACCAGGAACACAAGAAAACAGAAGCTCACTGAACATCAGAGCATGCCTGTCTCTGCCCCCCAGGGATCACCCTGCCCTTCAGGAACTCCACAGTAGTGCCTGTGCATTCTGGGACCCTACATGTGACCAAAAGTTCCCCACAACAGGGAGCAAATCCCAGAATCACAGAGCAGCAGAGGCAGAAGCGGAGGGAGCAGTGAAGACAGCAGCAGAGGCAGCGGAGGCGGTAGAAAGCATCAGTAAGTCCCTTCCATCTCTTGTTTTTACTTATTTTCAAATGTATTCTAAACATTAAACACTACCTTCACATAAGCTACTATGTTGTCTAGGTCGTCCATCCAAAATCCTATTACATTATATTTTAAAATGATAGAAAGATATATCTTTAGATGTAAGAAGCACTCCTTAAACCTGCCCAGCATTACATGATTATGTCTGTTCTTTCTGAGCCGCCTCCACAGAAAACAAACTGGGTGTGGAAATCAATAAGGTTCAGTTGAAGCTCAAACTGTGGAGGCAGAACCATCAAGCCCCTCAGATAAACACCTGAACCAGAGAACTCAGAGCCACCTTGGTCTCACAGAGGTCTCAGCTCACCTTGAAGATGGTTAGTCCCTTCTGTCTCTCAAATTTACTTAGACTTTTTAAAAAACACTAAATCTACTGTTTCATGTATTCTCTATTTAAAACTGTATGTATTATATTTCAATGTGTAAATTAATCTGGGACACCTTTACAGTTCATAATCCCCCTCCCCCCTCATATTGAAATGGTAGAAGCAATACGTCTTTAGATTTTCTCTAAGAATCACTCATTAAATTATTAAATCATTACGTCTGTTTCTTCAACAGGACCCTGCAGATGTGGGCCGGCGGTCAGCTACAGAAACAAAGCAGCGCATGACAAACAAAATCAAAGACCAGCAGTTGGGACCAAACGGCTTAAAGCATTTGTGTAGTATATTCATTTGTTTAATGGAGTATTTGTAAATATTTAATGTTTGTATATTTTGTGTTTGTATGCGTTTAATATGATTGTATGCATAATAAAAAATAAAATACAAAATGTTTATTTATCAAAGACAACACACATCTATTAACACTTTAAGTTAATGAAGGTCATTTTGGGGGGTGTCTGCCCCAGGACATTTTCTACCTTACTTCCATCAGTGGGTCTTTTGTATGCAAAAAAAGAAAAAAGAAAGAAACATAATTTAATGGATAATTAAAACACAATGTACCAAAACTTTAAAGTGTAAATCTCTAAATATGTATTTATAAATATTTTTTTATTAATTATACTGTATATTTACATAAACTATAAACTTTTCTCAATCACTAGAGGGCGCCACTATATAATTTGGGTATGTAACTTAGTTTTTCTGGGTATTGCCTATTAAAATACACATAAAGACAGTCACCATCTATTCGCATAATAATGTAACCGGAAACCTAGAAAAATCTTTATAAATAAATCAATATTAGTAATATAAAGTCCTTCAATCGCTAGCTACGCCCATGGAACGGGTCTATAACTGTCGTGAGTCATTATTTTAGGTTTTTTTTCACAAGGCTTTATTGAGAGCACAGTCGCACTCCTCCAGTACAGGATGACATGAAGTTTGTCTCGACTCTTGACAGTAATGTTGACATTGTGCACAAACCTGCCCCACCCATCTACACTGTTCTGGTAAATTCTTTCATTTATCTTTCTTTTTTTCTTTGTCTTTTTGTTCTTTATTGAATAACTGTGATAATAGTAGGCTACATGTTCTCTATACACTAATAATACACTATCCTACTATTATGTCTACAGCTAAGACTCAGTTTATCTGAGAAGTGAGTATCAGTTGTGTTTTGTAGAGAATAGGCTACAACTTTATTGTAACTTTCATAGTTAAGTTAATAATTGTTATTAATAGAAATTATATGAGTGTGTGTACAGTATGTATGTATGTGTGTGTGTGTGTGTATATACGATAGCATACAGTGTTATATTTGATTTGTTAGCCTGTTTAATCAGGCATCAGCCCGAAGCGCACACAGCTGAAGATAATGTGTGTGTGTGTGTGTGTGTGTGTGATGTCATTGCCCAGACTAACACAATTAATGCAAATTCCTTAAGACTATAGATGACGATCAGTGATTAGCACTGTTACTTTAAAACAACATCCCTTCAAGCTTGCTCTGCTTAATTTCAATACAGTGCAACATTATTCAGCATCAGTGGGCAATTTAGTTAGTTTGATAGTTGTGGGCATAGAAAATGAGTAAGAGTGAGGCGGACACTAGGGTATAGCTAGGAGAAGGCAAAATAAAACTAAGAATATTTGAAAGAAAATACAAATACATGAAGCATGTGTATTATGTTTACCATAAAAAAAATTAAATAATGTTTCAAGTTTCAAATAGGTATAGAGCCTGAATAGGCCTCCATAATAAACAATTTATACTCAATAGTCGGTAACACTTTAGGGACAAATTCTCACTATTAACTAGTTGCTAATTAGCATGCCTATTATTAACATATTAGCTGTTTATCAGTACATAAAATCACATATCCTGCATGGCATCACTAATTAATACCTAAACTTATTAACTAGGCCTACCTTAATAAGCAGCAAACTAGCTGTTTATTAAAAGTCGTAGTTAATGATTTGTTAATAGCGAGATTTGGACCTTAAAATAAAGTGTGACCCAATCAGTGTTGCCAACTGCTTTCAATTGAAAGTAGCTAAAACTGGTAGCTAAATGTCACTAGATGACATCACAATGGCAAATTCACTGATCTGTATAAAGATGAACGTAGATCAGTGGGCAAGATGAGAACTTAGATAAGGTTTGTCCAAGAAGTTGCTACAAAGTAGCTAAATTGGCAACATTGGACCCAATATTCTGTTCAAGACTTCACTGTATGTTCCTGAGAAACCCAGCCTTGATTGATTGGCTCCCCGGTGATTCATTGTGTTTGATTCATTTGAGCGAATCTGTTAACTCAGACGATTCATTTCGATACATCGGTTAAAAAACAATTCGCATATATATATAGCCTTAATCAACGTTGTAAACTGTTTCCGCCTTTGTTTTACTCCCAAATAAGCGTATCCTCTATTTTCATTTAAAAAAATTGTTTGGCCGCGAGTATTTTATTCTAGCATTTTCAAGTTTATGTCTGTGTGTGGTGTGTGTCTGTGCCATATCCTACTGATTTTTTGGCACTGTAAACCTAGAAAAACTAGAATTTAAATCAGTGTAGATAGTTGTAGCTAATATGTGAAAGTTGTAGACGTTGCGTCTCTGTTAATGCAGATATGCACATTTTGATGGAGATTCACAAACGCTTGCGAATCATTTCAAATGAGTCGTTCAAGCGAATCGTCTCGCTCGCGAATCAAACACCTCTACTCTCTCTCTCTCTCTCGCTCTCTCTCTCTCTCGCCCTCCTGCTTTCAGTTCAGTCATGAGTTTCCAGTAAGAAGAGGCGTGTGGTGTGAAATGAACATCGTTCTACTTTTCCACATCACCTTTAAGGATTAATTTGACCATAACCGTCTGATTGAGACTCTATTGATGGATCTCCACTCGAAACTTTCTATCCAGATCGGTTTATTATTTTCAAGAACTGGATACGAGTAAAAGAGAAACCTGCGCACTTCACTAGTTTTACGGGAATGGACATTTAGTGAGGTAAGCAAGTTTCCCCAAACATTTTCTTTTCCGTAAGCTGTAACTTGGACATTTGAAACGTTCACACAAGGTATTTTTGGTCTGTAGTGTATCTATAAAGTGCTACATGAATGTCAAAGAGAAGCTGAACCAGCAGAACCACCTTGAGCTTCGCGCAGCTGGAAAGTCTCCTCTGCTTTCTGGTTCCTCGCAGAAAAACAGCAGAAATGGCAGGAACAAACAGCTCGAACATGAAAACTCTGGAGGATTTGACTCTGGACTCCGGCTATGGAGCAGGGGACTCGTGTAAGTCCTTAAGCCTGTCGTCCTCCAAGTCAAACTCGCAGGCGTTCATGAACACCCCTCACCGGGGGAACTGGTGGTACTACTCCGGCTCTATGAACAGCAGGAACAACAGCTGGGATACAGTCAACACGGTGCTTCCAGAGGACCCAGAGGACATTTTCTCCAAGTGCCCACGCTTACCGGAGCTGGAGGAGTTCCCGTGGACGGAGGAGGACGTGGGGAGGGTCGTGCGTAAAGGCGCGGGGAAGGGCGCCTCGCTCTCCGCGGAGGCTGTGCGCAGACTGGCCGCCCTGATGCGCAGGGCGCTGATCCGCATCTCCAGAGAGGCGCAGCGGCTCAGTGTCATGCACTGCAGATGCACCAGGTTCGAGGTGCAAAGCGCGATCCGCCTGGTGCTCAGCTGGGCGCTGGCGGATCACTGCGTCTCGGCCACTGTGAAGGCCATATCCATGTACAACATGAGCGCTGGAGAGCTCTTGCGCAAGGGGAAGTCAGCCCGGTGCGGGCTCGTGTTCTCCGTCGGACGGGTTTTCCGCTGGATGGTGGACACTCGGATCGCGGTGCGCATCCATGAGTACGCGGCCATCTGCCTGACCGCGTGTATGGAGGCTCTCGTGGAGGAGGTGGGCGTGCGCGTGCTGATGGCGGAGACGCCCGGCTGCGTCCTGACGGCGGAGGCGCTGGAGGGGGTCATCAATAATGATGCCGAGCTCTGGGGGGTCCTGCAACACTATGAGCATCTCATCTGCGGGAAGAACGCCAATGGTAGGCACTTTGTATTGTTGCTTAAACTGTTTCACTCGTTAGTTGCTTGTGGCCTAGTGGTTAGATTTGGCTGAAGGATTGTTGAAAACCACACAAGGGTTGATCCGTCACCATTGTGCACTTAAGCATGACACCTCAAGATGCTTCAACGGAGTGTATGTGTACTGTAAGTCACTTTGGAGAGAAGTGCCACCACAGTTTCCCCAAATTGTATTTGGACCATGCTTATTATTGATAACTAAAACAATACCGAAAAAAAAAACTGAAATAAACTTGTATTTATTATAAAACTTATATATATATATATATATATATATATAAAATGTATATACAATTATTGTATTTCAGCTATTTTTTAGTACTAAAATAACTAAAAAATAAAACTAAAACAATACCAAAAAAACTGAAATAAAGATTTATTTATTATACAAATTATTTAAAACTATATTTAAAATAAAATGCATTTTATTTAAGCTATTTTTTTAGTTTAAGAAGTACTAAAACAACAAAAAAATAAAACTTAATAGAAACTATACATGTGTAAAACAATTTACTGGAAAAGTATTGAAACAACTAAAATTAAATAAACTAAAATTTAATACCATATAGACATAAAAAAACGAATAAAATGAAGAAAAAAAACTCAACAAAATTACTAAAACTTTAAAATTAAAATCAAAATATAAAATATAAAAATTTTAAGTTTGTAAAAATACAAACTTTAAAATTTAAATGAAAAGAGAAAAACAAATTTGAAATTCAAAATATAAACAAAAACCATGACAGTATATGAATGATACTAATATATAGCCAAATTACTAAAACTTTAAAATTTTAATGAAAGCAGAACGTTCAGAACATGAACAGAATAAACAGAATAAGGACAAAAGCTATAATAGTATCTGATACAAAAATAACACTGATTTGGACACTTAAAAGTAAATGAATATGACTCAAATATCGAACTTTACCTAAGTATGTCAGTCCATTATTTTAAAGAAAGTATTTTAAAGAATCTTTAATCAAAATATTTCATGATGAGTTTGCTGGGTTTAAGCTTGTTCAACTATACATAAACTGTTCAAAGTGAGTATTGTGGATGTGAAATGTTAGTAATGATCATATAATGTGACGAAGTACACCTGTGGTTACTGTCTACTAACTTCAGGGGAAATGGCTTCATACAACCTCATAAAAAAAAGCCCTGCCACACCAGTTGATTATGACAAATTAGTACCTTTGAAACTAGTTATGCATGATATGTTGGTAAAATACTGGCATGGTTTACTGAAAATACTGAAACTGCGATCTGTTGGTAGACCCACACAAATGTTGATAGCTTTCCTTATTAGACTTCTTGGCTTTTGATCTGAAAGATGAAAATGGAAACCAATTTCCAGAAATCACTGGTCAATCACGTCATTCTGCCTGTGACCGGTCATTACACGCTTCCTCTTCTCCATCTGTGAGAATTACCCCGCGCTGCCAACTTCTGCATCATCTAGGTTGCATTTTCATTATGATTTGTCTGTGGTTTACCAGCATCTAGCATGAGGTTTTCACAAACATTCACAAGCGCTTCGTTTCCTCTTTGAGCAAACCGATCTTAACCGACTGACCAGGGAAAGAAAACAAACTATATCTGTAAAAGGACAACACGTGGTTCTGATGTATCACGGTCCTGCTTTCATCATATTTACTCATCATTTCTGTTTGCATTGTCCTAAAATTCAGGACAGATGTTTTGATTATTATCTTATGTGGGTGGTTGACATGATAGTTTAAATATGCATATAACATATACTACATTTTTCACTTATTTGATGACCCATTCAATGAAAATCGTTTTGATTAGATTGCTTAGAAAAGTATATTTCTTCAACAAACCTCACAATTTGAGGTATTATTCACATTTGTATTAGGGCAGGACAAGGTGAGTAAAAGCCATGTATCGCCTATAGCTAATAATAGTAGATATTGTTTAAATATTTGCTGTATGTAGAATATGATAGTTTAAGGTGAAGCAGGGGTATTATGGTTAGCTTAAACTAAAACCATTTAAAAAAAACTTGTTACTTGAAATGAAATCAAATAAGATAATGTAAATCACACAAAAATACTAAAACTTTAACTAAAAAATGAAAACATAAAAATGTTAAATATTAAATATCAATATCTATCTATATGGTTTTACATTTTTGTTTGTTTATTTAGTTTTGCTTATTTTAATACTTCAACTTAAACTAAATAAAAATGAGAAACAACGTTACCTTGAGTTACCTAGCTGAAATAAAAAAGCTCTTTTAGTATCATTGATATACTATAATAGCTTTTATTAATTTTGAATTTGATTTATATTTTCTGTTTTCATTTTAATTTTAAAGTTTTAGTAATTTTGTTGTGTTTTGTCATTTTATTATATTTTTTTTAAATATGTCTATATGGTTTTCCTTTTTAATTTTAGTTATTTTAATACTTAAACTAAATTGAAATAATAAATGTTACCTTGGCAACTATCTGAAATCAAATAAGCTGTCTTAGTATCGTTGATATGCTATTATAAATTTTGATGATATTTTTAAGTCAATGTCATTTTTATATAATCCGTTTTCATTTTAATTTTAAAATTTTAGTTATTTTGTTGTGTTTTGTCATTTGTATTATTTTTTGTAATAAAATTTTAAATCAGTTCTCAAACATTATTATACAAAATCTTTGAGTTGAAGCATTGAAAAGCGCTTACAGAGTAGCCTCGGGGGGCGTTTTCAACTACAGTAAAAACATTTTACTACTTATTAAGCGTTTTGGCCGTTCATTTATGCAACAACAGCATTTTGGGGGCCTGAACATGTAAACTTTTAAAAACAGGTGCAAGTTTTTGTAAACAATACCATTATTGTCTCCATATAAACTACAAAAACATGAATTTATGAAAATGGTGAAGTCATGCACATGCGTATTACATGTTTAGTCTATAGTTTTGTGCACAGGCGTGTTTCTGTACAAAGTGACATCGCCAACTACTGGCCTGGCATGAAAGTACAGCGTTTTTAGTCATTTTCACGAATTGGGAGTCGTTTTGATAATGTGCTCGTCTGTACATGGAACTTTTCAAAAACGCAAAGGAAAAACGTTTTCATTTTTAGTACATTGTTGTCATGTAAAAACGTACGCTAGGATGCTAACTGACTTCAGCTAGGCTACAGGATGAATATGTGCATGAAATATTGCTCCAAATCCAGCTACTTCCATGACAGTACTGAAGCAGTGGAAAGACTTTATTTGAAGATCAGAAGAGCGTGGGTGCGATATTTAGGCTACGCTAGCAAAAAGCTCTTTTTTGGCACGGTGAGTCAGGATCTCAGCTCTGCATAATCCTTACACAGCTCGCTTTCTGTGGGATGCCCATGTGGTCATCAAATTAGGTCGGTCCATAAAGACGACCCAGTGGATCAATGTGCTTTCAGGACGGCCGTGTTAACAAAGTGCTGCGCGTGCACTTCACAAAACCCTCGCGTGCCATTACTGTTGATGAATGGGCATCTGATCCACTGCGTTTCCTCTGTCAAGTGCAGGAGATTGAATCTGAAACGCCTTAAATGTGGCTCATTGATGATTTCAGCCATGGCCTTTCAGAACGTGCTTGATTACGTAAAACATTCATGACCTGCTTTTGTTGGCTGCTATTATTGCACCTGAGAATGACTTTTAAACAGCCTTGATTACCATAGCTCAATACACTCGTTTTATAAGCTTGCATGGTTTCTTTTGATTCTCTGACTTTGAAGTATACACAAAATGGCATCCAGAACCATTTTATTTGTCTTTTTTTTTCTCAGTGAAGCAGAATATTGGCAGTATTTAGCATGGTGTCAAAATGTAATAACTTGCAACTGCTGACATTATTTTTCATCCCCAAGCCTGCAGCTACCTGTACTATAGAGACTCTTTCACAGTCAAATTAGTTCTCGATGGATGAAATAAAGTTCTTTCCTACAATTTCAGTCATTTAAAGTAAATTACTTTAAGGAAGTAAACGGGGTTGACTTCTTGTTGACTTTATTGTAACTGATGGTAGGAGTACCTTTACTCACAAGGTTTCATATTCATAGTCCGTTTGCAACAAAAGTTCTTCTTTATCATCTGCCAACCAGCCCCACATCTGGAAGTCTTTAAGACTCGCTTCTCTTTGCCAACTCAAGTCACTCCCACTTTCTCCAACACACACTCTCTGCCTCTTTTCTATTTACTTTAGTCCTTCTTTCCTGGAGCCGTTTCTGTGAACGCACATGCTTTTAACAAGGCGCCCACTGTACCAACGTGCCATGTCAAATCCAAAGAACACAAAGCACTGTGTTTTTTTTTCTCTCGCCGATAGTTGCTATTGATATTCACGTTGCATTTGAGTGTGCAAATGATTCATGGAGAAAACATCTTCATACTTTGGTCCTGAACGAGTGCTTTCTAAAACTCGCTGTTGAGAACATCTGTGAACCCGACCCAGAGCAGGACGTGAACTTTGTCCCTTGTCTTTTGCGGCAGACTCAGGACAGTACTGGAATTTCTGGCACAGCTTTCAAACATTGGCTACCCTGATGGAAACATCCCAGCCCTAAAATACAGTTTCATTTTTGCATAAGTAGTCTGCAGGCCAGTGCACTTGTGTCTTGTGGAGGTTATTTTTATGCTTCGTGGATTTAGGATGGCAGTAATAGGGAAAACACCATCTTGCATGGTCAGTGGCACTGTTTATACATGCTTCCAGCCAAAACCAAAGGCCCAGCTGTACAAGGAGCTCAGACTTCTCTGAGCTAGCGGCTAAAAACAGCACAAGTTTTATGATGGCTTAAAAACATTTCAAGGGCTACATTTCAAGAGAGCTCCTTAAAACAAGATAACTTCATTATCTAGTCACTAGCATTAGCTAAAACTTGTGAGCTCATGGAACCTCATACAGTAAGTGACTGAAATGAAACACCCTACATAGGCAGCAGCTCTAA